TCATCGGATCATACGCCCTTCGGACGGGGTCAAAGGTCCAAGGTGCCCAATACACCTCGATACCAAATTGAGCCGGTGACCACTGCCACAGCCGTGATTAGTTGCTGAAGTGATCTCTCCAGTGGTGAAACTGTAAGGCTACAAAAAACTAGCTGGTTCTCAGCGCTTGCTCTTATGCGATTCAATTCCGTCTAGCAACCTTTCATCGACTTTTAAAGTATGCCTAAGTTTACGGCAGCGAAAATCCATCTTGTAAGGTTCATTGAGTCAAGGAAACACGTCAAAGACGATTTCATGGATTTGGCTTTGTTCACTCAACGAATCAGCATATTTTTAAATACAGATGCGTAAAGAAGAGCTACGACAGTACCAGAAAACTGACAGGACTAACCAAACGTTTCTTGATTTCTGTTTTTTTCTTCTGGTACACTGGTCTGGCAGCTTTGCCGGCAGCTTACCTTAGAGTTTTCGATTACACGAGCAGGGGTCACGGACTTCGGTATCACGATTATATTGCGCTGTAACAGATAGCGTAAAAGAACTTGAGCTGTGGTCTTTTGGTGGCGATCGGCGATCTCACAAACCCACGGAGCAGTAAGCAAATCGACTTCACCCCTGAAAGACAAGACACGTTCGGTCAAATCAATGCTTAGTACAGTTGCTACATCAGTATTCAAAATTTGTAATAGCCACTGGTGTGAATTATGATTGTAGTTTTCCAATATTTATTTACAAATATGCTGATCTCTATTAACACGATATACAATAACTGTCATGTGAACTTGCACCAAAGAAAAATCGCTCAAGTTTGGCATGACCATTGTGAATAGCAAGACGTGACTCACGGTGATGCACCAGGTGAACCAAGAGGAGCGTAGGCAGTGACTGTCAATCCTTTGGAGTGGGCATATTCAACGAGCTTCGAATTTGGAAAATTGACGTGAATTTCCACTTGCAAGTTGACTGGCTTTATGGTACAATCAGCCAAAATCATGTCAATTTGACGCTTGTTGAAATTGGAGACACCAATAGATTTGACCATTTTGTCGCGAACTAACTGCTCCATTGCCTACAATAAATGGATTCGGATAAACTCATAATGACAAACTTTTTTTATTAGATTCACAATTGCATGAAGGGAGACAAAAAGAAACCAGTCCCATAGAACACTGAGAACAATTGATATCAAGAAGCCTCGTTCTGAATGGATCACAAAATTTGCAATGAACCAGAATGTACCAAGTGCTCCTCCCCATACAGAGTACTTCCAAAGAGTGGTCACTCCCTCCGATCAAAAACATTATCCAGGTTCCGAACGATATCGCCACACAATCGCCACGCCCCCGGCAGAGATTGCAAATCAAAGTAGCAGCAGAAAACGCCAGCTGATCCTGTGCTGAAGACAGCTCGGATTCTCTCTTTGACTGACAGGTATCTGATGCTGCACTCGGGTAAGTAAATGGAAACACTGTAGGTCATTTGAGTGCTTCATCGAAAGCTATTGGAATTATTTAAGATTCTGGAAGGTCGATGCCAAGCCCTCGATGTACACTGAGTAACTTAGAAACTACAGGGTTTGGGCCCAACTGAAAGGAGGTAAAGTGAACCCCTATGGGCAATACAGAGTGCAAAACCGAGATGTGACACATCTTTTCACGCTTCCCGGCCCGATACGAAATGACAGTTCAGTTCTTACAACCATTAACCATGCACTTTCGTGCCCCGGTTTCGGTTGCTGCCTTTTGGTTGCCCATTCGGATAAAACAGCAGAATGATGATTAGAATGTTGAGAGCAGATTCAAGCGGAAGATAACATTTTCATAAACTGAAGTTAAAAGAATAATGAGTAGATGCATGAACGCCACTGTTTGCGACACCCAGCCATATCGCTCAGTGTCTCTAACCATCGGTGACCATGATCTCTGGGTCCCCAGCCAGGGAGCCTAACGGGACCTATGTGAGCCAGTCTCCTGGTCAGGGTTTTCATACCCTCATGCCAGGTCTTAGTTTGACCGCCCATAATCTTTTTCCAAACGCTACCTGCCTCGGCATA